CATTTGAAACGATTATGAAACAATCTAACCGACATCCAGAAAAACTGAGGGTAGATAAAGGAAGTGAATTTTATAACAAAAATATGAAATCTCTGGGATTTGAAATTTACAGTACGCATAACGAAGGTAAAGCTGTAGTAATAGAAAGACTTAACAGGACTCTAAAAAATAAATTATTTAAAAAGTTCACGGAATTGAAATCTCAAAAATGGCTTAAAATATTACCAGAGGTTGTAGATGAATACAATAACAAAATTCATTCATCTATAGGTGTCACACCAACACAAGCCACCAACATTCCAAATATTATAAAGTCAATTAACGCGCAACATAACTATGAAAATGAAATAAAGAATTTAAATATCAAACCCAAATTTAAAGTCGGAGATCGAGTTCGTATTTTCAAATATAAAAGCAAATTCGAAAAAGGTTACGTTGGATACTGGACAAACGAAATATTCATCGTTGATAAAGTAAACAGCACATCTCCTCCGACATATGAATCGATCAAGACAAAGAACAAATCATAGGAAGGTTTTATCAACACGAACTTCAAAAAACCGACTTTTAAAAGTGAACGAATTTCTCGAAGATGAAGAATTTGATAGAAGATTAAGAGATGTAGACAAGCATTTACGCTTTCTTAAATTTAAATTTAAATGCAAATTTATGTTCAAAATATTATTGAATATGTTTTATCAGAATATAATACAATTTTTTTCAAACACACACTACGTATATATTTCATCAATTGGGTTTTCAACAATACTCCTCAAAAAAAGCGACTTTTAAAAATGAATATCTTTCTCGATAAATATGGAAACGATACAACCACAAACTTTCAACTTATGAGATGGGCGAATGAGTTAAATATATCACCGTTTTATTATTGTATGAGAGATGAAATAAATGATCTCAAATATAAGAAAGGTAAATTTTACGCTATAACAAATATACATACTTCCGATCAAAAAGGAGTTCATCATTCTGCTTTGTACAAAGACTCTTCAAATGACTTATATTTCTTCGATTCTTATGGATTAGAACCCACAGAAGAGATAATGCAATTGACTAATAAACCAATCAAATGTTCTTCCTTTCAAATTCAATTACCAGGACAAAAGTTTTGTGGTCAGCTTTCACTTTGGGTTTTATATCAGTTGAGTTTAGGAAAACGATTCAAAGAAATTGTAATAAATTTAACTCAATAAAAATGGCGAACAAGTTTGGATTAGGTTCTTTATCTTTAGAAACTAAAAAACCTAACACTACAGCGTGGATAAATAAAGCGAAACCTTACTTTGTGGATCAAATCGGAGACACTCTTCAAGGTGATTTAGATATGAACAATTTCCAAGTAACTAATTTAAAGTCTTCGGAAAACGATAATGACCTGTTCACAAGAAATATTAACGGGATCAAATAAATTTAATTAAAGTAAATAAAAACCATTTTGAAGATAAAATAAGTAATGATACTAAACTACAACAAGAGGTAAAAAGATTAATAAGTTTTATTCAAAGAGAATTGGTCAACGTAGCGAATAAAACTGAGTTACAAAATTTAATTTCATTAATATCTAAATAAGAGGATAAGATTGCAAAACAAAAATTAGACATTCAACAATTAATAGATAACATTCCAGATGAAAATGAAGATACGTTTCAACAGGAATTAAATGCTCTGGAAACTAAACTTAACAGTGAATTACAAAAAGAACTAACAAATATTAAACAACAAATACAAAACATAGATGGTAGCGAAATCAAAACCTATATTCAACAACAAATACAAAACATAGATGATAGCGAAATCAAAACCTATATTCAACAACAAATACAGAACATTGATGATAGTGTTACTCAACAACAGATAACCACTATTAATAACCTATAGTTTTAAAACAGGACAAAAATATACTCGCATTAGAAAAAAAGTTTCTCAAGAAAGAATCATATTATTTCAATCTTCCATTTAGAAATTTGATTACAATGCTTCTATTACTGATAATATTGATAGATCAAGAGAGTATGAATATAAAAAATATGGAATTACAGCAAATATTAGAGTATATTCTGTTCCAGATGGTGATATTTCCCCCCAACATATTTTTGATTCAGATGTTGATTTAAATTCATTACCTTTTATTTTTCGAGGAAAAATTACAATTGAAATAACATTTCCTATACAGGTAAAAGTTGAAACAATATTCTTCAGACAAAACTCACATATATATCTAAGGCTAAAAAAGTTCTTCAGTTTATCAATGGTACAAAAAATGTAGAAATTAAAGAATTTGAACGACGAAAACAGCAAGGATAAACACTTATATGAAATTAAAACGAGTGGAAAATATATAGATAGGTTTAGAATGGTTTACCAGATAATGAAGAAGATGAACTTACATTGCTTTTTTTTGATATGTTATTGGAAACGGAAACTCCACCATCAATGAATATTATTAAAAATCCAGAACCACAAAAAGAAGACAATGTGAGTTATGAGTTTTTACAAGCAACAGACTTTGAATACGTAAAACTATATTTTGTTGATAATGGTAAATTTACCTCAATTGATATTCATAAAAGTCAACAAAAACAAAATTTTTTCATAAGAGATGATGCATATGTTAATATATCAATCTTTATTAGAAATGATAAACCAAGATTTTCAGTTCATCTGAATAAGATTAATGATTGGAAAGAACAAATATCGTTAGTAACTGTAAAAGTTGTTATTAATAAACACCTACCAGCTTTATCAGAAGTTATCTTAATTTAATTACCTAAAAAATGGAACTCGAAAGTAGACAACAATACATGATAGAAAAACAAAACGAACTAAAAGAAAAACTAAAACAATTCAACAAATGGAAAAACATGGAGTAGAATCGATTCTGTTTTCAAAACATTAAGTACAGTTTTAACAGTAGGGATAACGGTGGCAACAGCCGTAACCGGTGGATTAATGCTTCCAATAATTGTCCCAACTGTATTAGCCGCGTTCACTGCCGTTCAAACTTCATCTTGTGGATTTATTACTTTAGGTTTTACATCCAAAAAGAAAGCTTATTATAAAAAGAAAACAGAAATTTTAAATACATATCTTAATAAATTATTCATTTTTTTCGAAAGATCGAGAGAAGATAAGAACATAACCATTGAAGAATTAGAAGAATTCAATGAAATTTTAGATAAATTTGATGTAGAAATATCATCAATAAAAGTTAAAAATTCCTAGTTAAAAATAGTTGCTTAAAAAATATGAATAAAATTGAAATTTTAGACGATGAAAAATTCATATCAAATGAACTTTTTTCCAATGTTATTAACCTTATCTCTGATGAATTTATAATATTTAAAGGGCAAATTGAATTAGATGGAGAAATAATTCAAGATGGAAAATACAAACAATACATGAAATTTGTAGGTTTTAATACCAAAAATTTTGTCAATTTCTTTACTACAGTGGATAATAAATCGTATGCTTCTGATTGGTATTTCACAAGAAAAATCATTTTCCGTAAAAACAATTTCAAAGAAATAAAAAGATCAAAAAAAGGTAGTGGTGTTACCCTACTCAAAAAGATAAATGAATATATCGGTATAAATTGTTATATACCGAGCGATGGATACTGCTTTGTAAAGTGCGTTAATCGTGTTTTAAATGAAGACTACACAAGAGATTTTCAAGATTTCATCAACAGTTTTTCATAATCAAACAAAAAAGGAGTTATGACAACTGCTAGAATCTGCGAATTCAATAAGAAATTTAATACTTATTTTCAAATTTATATGCCCAAACATAGACATTTTCAACCAAAGAAAGTATCCGAGGAATTAGATTGGGTATTTTACTTACATAAATCACATTTCTGTCTCATTAGAAGAAATAACAAAACCTTAGGCATTAAAGACATAGAAGATAATTACGATGAAAACGTATGGAGAACTTGTAGAGATGATAATGCAAGTTTCACCTCTAAAACTAAACGTTTTTCCAACCATTCCCAATGATTGTTTATACGCATGGGATTGCGAAACCTATAACGAAAATAAAGCCATACCTTATTCTTGCACGTTAATTAATTTAGAAAAACTAAGAAAATTTTTAGACAGTATAAATAATCTCTTTCCAGATTTAAAGCCGACAGATCCCATTCCAGAAGAATTTTAGAACAAACTCATGAACACTATAGTAGAAATATTTCAAATGTTACAACGTTTAGGAAAAATAGATCAAAAAAGAATAACATTAATTGCTCATAACGCTAGCGGTTTTGATAACTGGAGATGAAGATTACAGAAAATATGGAAAAGACAGAAAGAAATAAAGGGTAACTCTTAATTATTTGCAAAATATTAATTTCATATGTTCCTATCAACATGAATCATCTAGTTTGGCGAAATGGGGTAATTCATCTAATCTACCAATGAATTTGAGAAAGATCGAGGATGTAGACAAAATACACCAAAGATAATTGGGAGCCTTTAAGACACGAATGGGAACCTTACGCTAAAAGAGATACGTTATGTCTCGGAGCTTGTTTGATAAAATACAATCAAGCAATGAAAGAAGTTGTATTTCAGAATATTTCCAATAATATAACGGCTCCTTCTTTATCTTTAAAGGGTTGTTATTATTTATATCATTACGATAAAGAAATGATTGAAGTACTAGAATGGTTCCGAAACACACCGAAAAAGAAAACGTAGAAAAAGTTTACTCGCATACTCACCCTTTTATAAGATATTTTATCAGACAAAGTATTAAAGGAGGAAGAGTTTCGGCAAATCGAAAATTATTTGAAACGGATAAAATGGATGTAATTTGTAATATATTAAAGGAATACACAGAAACAGCAAGTGATAATATAATAGATTTATTCAAAGAATACAGCGCTAGCACGAAAGATAAAGCGGAGGTTCATTCGAGACTTACAAAAAATAAAATGTACTAAACTAATGGCCTTTGATGCTAACGGTTTGTACGCTTCCGCCATGTCGGATGTAGATAGCGAATATCCGAAAGCGGAAAGTGGTAGACCATTTCGACAAGAAGAAAATAAAGAATTTCTCAAGCTCTTTAATGAACAGAAATTCAGACCTAGAACTGCTATTTTAAAAGTCTGGTTTGAATATCCTACCAACATGTTCTTCCAACCCATACCAGGTAAAGAAAAATCACTTTCACAAATAGAATAGGTAAAAAGGAAACTGGCACTAAAATCAGGTTCAGAAATGGTTTCTCTCACGACGTTTTAACATCGGTCGATATTCAAGAAATAGTGAAAGCCGGTGGACGAATTATTAAAATAGATGGTATAGTTTACGAAGAAAATTTTAAAACTCCTCCCTATAGAGAATATATTTTAATTTTAAGAGATCTAAGAAATAAATATAAACGAGTAGGTAATATCGTAGGTAGTAATTGCATGAAATTATTAGGCAATTCGTTTTATGGTAAATCTATTCAGAAGGATATAACTACATCGAGACATTTATGGAGTGAAGCGACTTTAAAAGCCAACTTCGATTCACACGTTATACACTACGAAAAAGTAAATGATAGTCAATATATAGTTGAGATAAATGAAGAAGAACCTCCTAAATCTACACGACTAACACCTAGTCATTTGGGATCATTCGTTTTATCTCACAGTAAAAAAATAATGAATAATTTTATTCGCGTGATAGATGGATTTTATAAGCCTTAAATATACTATACGGATACCGATAGTTCATAATTTCGTCTAGCAATTGGGAAAAATTAAATGAAGCTGGGTTGGTGTCCGAAAATGATTATTGTAAAGGAAAAAATGATTACGGTGATGGTGGAATTATATTTGGTTTATATTTAGCGCCAAAAGTTAAATATAATATCGTTCTAACTTCCGACGGTATTCTAAAAGAAAAGAAAACGTTTAAGGGTTACTCTAAAGATAAGATATCCGTAGAAGATTATATTCGATTAGCTAGTGGACACGATGTAACGAATGAATATAAGAAACCTTGGGTAAAAAGTTTCACCAATGGAGTAGTTATTCCAAAGGCTGATGATAAACAAAAGAAAGTTTTTAGAAGTTATCTAAATCTCGTTAAGAGAAAAGCACCAAACAGTGAAGGATTCATGTATCCTTACAACGACGGAAAAGAATTGAACATAGATGAAAACTACGAATTTGATAATTTCGATTACCTTACTATTCAAGAAGAGAATGAAGAGTGTTAATTTTTTTGTTTTAAATGAACTTGAATAACAATATCTTCGTTATAAATCTATTTTTACCATCTTTGATTCCAGATTTATATCTTTAATCATAAAGGAATTAAGTGGTAAATACGTCGTTTGAAATGGTTTCTCTATAATTCTATATCCAATAGGAACTGTGAATGTTGGAAGACTGTAAATAATCTGACGTTTGTATTTATTGAAAAATCCAGCGTTTATCAAATTGCAATGTATATTTATCACATCGATATCATTCTCGATATCAGCTTTGTGTGGTGCTAAAGTGGATTGGGCGTATACTCGTTTATCAAATCCTAGTAACGTATTCAATGAATTTTCTACGTTGAAAGCAACTTGACTATTATTTCTTAATATCAATTTTATTTTGTTCAGATTAAAATTACCTTCGAATTCAATATTGTTTTTACCATTGACACTTCCTCCATATTCAGATAGGTATTCGTTAATGGCTATGTATTCGTAGCTTCCTGGTAGTAAACGTATGGTTTAGAACGTAACTGCGTTATCTGTTGATATTTTTATTTGATTATTTTTTTCGTTGATATTTCTAATGGAATTGTAAACAGAAAAATACTTGAATCCCAATTCATATTCTTGATTGCGATCGAGTTCGTACTCATAATGTAGAGAAAATTTAATGTCTGATTTATTTGAGGTGATGACGAATAGTTGTTCTTTATTTGACATTTTTAATCACGCTTTTATAATCATTTTTATCTATAATACCTTTCTCTAGGAGTCTTTTTAATATACAATTTACTTCATTATATTGTCTGTGTGATCGATGTCCTTCCTTCATTGCCGCTAATATTATTTCTAATCTATTAAGTAGTTCCTCGTTGTTGTCGAATAAAAACGTTATTCCTTGTCCACTGTTTTCTCTAGCTATCTCCTCCTCCAATTCGTCTATTTCTCGTATGATTGGTGGATAATCTTCTGCATAATCATCTGATTCCTCTTCATCAGGAATAACTTTATTTAAATATTTTTCCACATCTTGTAATCTTCTTGTTTCGGGTCCCGTCTTTTTAATTACATTTAGAAATTTTGAGTATGCTAGTAAATCCTTGTAATCGGCAATGCCAATATACCCCCATTCATTAAATCTATTAACCCTTTCGTTAATGTAAATATTAAGTCTTTTGTATCGATTTTGAATATAGGGGAACCTTTATTAAATTTTTATTCTCTATCCATTAAACAATAACTCATCATTATCAACAATTGGTGAAATGCTCTTTGGTAAATCTGGGTCAGGGTTTGAAAAATGTTTTATATCATCTAATGTCCTAATTATGATTTCATCATCTTTAATGGGATATTCTATTTGTTGAGGAGAAGGAAACGGTGGTTGTTGAATTTGTTTAGGTGTGGGTTCTAATTTCTTTTTAATATCCTCTTGAGATTTTAATATGGGTTGAAATAGAGTTTGTAGATTTTCCGTTAATCCGAGTTGTTGTAATCTGTTATTTTCAACTTGAGTCTTTATTTTATTCTTAGCTTTGATATATTCTTTGTTTCTTTTTAAAATATTATTCCAATTATTTCAATTTTTTAAAAAATAAAATTTAACAAATGTCTGTCATAACTCTTTCACCCGCAGGTTTTCTAGTATTAAAGAATATATATACATGATCATTTGGGTTTTTCCATTGAGCTTTACAAACCTTTTTAAATGCATCTCTGTCCATTCCGTGATTTTTCGACTGAATGATTTGAGATAAATCTTTATCGTTTAATTCAAATAATAAAAAACAATTTGCATTTTTTCTAATGAACATAGAATCCATCCCGTAAAAAGATTGAGATATATATGTATATGTATATGCAATGACAGTTGTGATGTCTTCCTTTCGTGAAGAATTCTTGTTGAACAGCTTGATTTCTTTGCGCAACGCAGTCGTTAAACAATATGAAGTTCTTTCGTTTGCTATCAATATTAGACAAGTCTAGATCATTAACATTTTTCGTAAGAAAAACTTTTATTTCCGTTGGATTCTTTGCTTCTATGTAGTTATCTATGATATTTTTTATTTCCACTTCTTCTTCGTTATCTTCGTAATATTGAAATAGGTCTTGAACATCTTTCTTTGGTAGATATTCTAAAGCTATGAGAAATTGATAATACGATTGCTCTGGTGTTGTTGTGTAGATATACAAAGAATCGAAATCTAAAAGGTTTGGTGTTGTCAACATGTTAAAAGTGAGATGAGTTTTCCCAGAACCGGAACTACCGCATATACACATGAGCATTGGGTTATTAGGAAATATTTCTGAATGATTAAATTTTTTGCCCATTTTTCATTATTTTAATTTGTTCCAAAAATCACTCCTTCTCCTTTATACTTTGAAAGAAATATTCCTTCTCCAGTGTGTATATTTTTTAAAAATATTCCATTACCCTTATGTTTGACTTTGATTTCTCCCGTGTCAATACTATTTACTAATTTATTTAATCCTTGTTTAACAGTTTTCTTGGTTTCTTCCCCAAATCTTTTTCCAAATTCTTTTATTGTGCCTATCATTTCTCCCACTCCTGAACCTCATGCTTCCTTTTCCAGTGCTAAATTATGTCTGCGTTCTTCAGCGGCTTTAGCATCATCTGCTTTCTTTGAGAGGATGGTTTTTGTTATTCTAATAGCCGCTGCAATACCACCAAATATTAAAGGTAGAAGCAAAGGTAAAAATCCACCTTCTTTTGCGTTCGCGTCAATTTTGTCTAAACCTATATCGTCTCTGACTTTACAATATTTGTATTTATCAATAAGTTTTTTAGTTATGCTGATTTTTTTACCGTTGAAAGTTATTACAGCTGGTGAAGCTGTTTCAATAGTTTCTATTATTTTCATAACTAAAGTTTCTGGTTTCATTTTTAAGGGTGTATTTTTTACTCAATTCTTATCATTCTTCTATCTGCTATTTTAATTAAATGTTTTGCTTCTTCCAATAATAAACAATAACCTGTCACATCTCCTTGTGTTTTTTCAATATGAATATTTATGTTGACTCCTGTTTTGAAAAGATCTTCTTGGTGAGCTGATAGATCAAAACAGAAGATTGGATGATTAAGTGCAAAATCTACATATTCAAACTGAGGTGGATTTCCAAATAATTCACACATGTTTTTATAGTTTCTATACAATTCATTATAATCCTTTGTGGTTGGATTAATTGTTAAAGGTTGGTTAGGATAATTATCGTTGTTTAACCTTACATGGACTTTATGGATTAAAGGATTTTGAGTTTGGTTCATTGCCACTCTAACGACATTATTGTTATTCGTTTGAGAATCTGGTAAGTTCTTGAAACCAGCCATTAAATATCTTGCTGGGTT